TTTCTTGGGGGTCCCCCTCACATTAGTGGGCAAATTTAAGATTCTAGCTAGATTTTAGCTTTAAAAAAATGTTCCCTGACAAATTCATGTCTCTTCTTTTCTAGTACTCAAAGAATGGGATATCCCCAAGGCTTACTTTTTAGCATTTCTATCTGGATAGTCTTATCTCATCCTCAGAGATAATTCAGTGTGTCCAAAATTAAGAGAGATCTTTGTCTTCCTATTGGATTTATTCTCCAAACTTTTAGTGTTCTCTATACCCAGGTACCCAGACTTGAAGTACTCACTCAAGATATGTCACATAACACATTTCCTGTATCTTCAACTCACCTTTTTAAGTGCTTCCTCAAACATCCTTTGTATTAATGATTCCTCTGGTTGCCACCCTAACCAGTGTCACAGAACCAGATACCTGGATAGACTGACTAATTTCTTCAACAAACATTTGTTGTGTGCCTACCAGGTGCTAGGCATCATGCTAGTGTGGGAATTAATAAGGATGAACAATGTACTCACTGCTCTGGAGGATCCAAAAGTCTGAAGGAGGAGACAGCTAAAGAGACAGTCCACCATAGTTTGATTGTGAATGTTATGATAATGATAAGTGTAGAGAGTCTTGGGACCACAAAGGAAGGGCCATTGTCTCTCTTGACTTTAGTATTATCTACATTCTAATCCATTCCACATTCAGCTTATCTTCCTTAGTTACTGCCTTCTTCACTCTTGTTTTTTGATCAAAAACATGATTGCTCCTTAATCTACCTCCCTTTAGTTTGTCTGTTCTCCCTATCACTTTTCTAATTTTATGTTTCATGCCATCTTAAAGGGGACACTCTTTTCAATCCAGGCTCCTGGTTCAGCCCCAGAAATACGCCGTTTTTATTTTCAGTATGATCTTCTATGAATGGCTTTTCTTTTTGCTTTCCCTATCCATTTGTCAAAATCCTTGCCATTTTCTTAGTTCATCTTAGTTCTCACCATTGTCTCAAAACCTGTTAAGCTTATCCTTTTCATCTACTTTCCTCAGCCTTATAAGCACTCATCTAATAATATAGCCTTACATTGTTAGTGCTATTTTGGTCTCTCCAAGGAAATTGTAAACTCTTTTAGATCAGGCATTCCATTATATACTGCTTTTGTATCCTTCATAGAGGTTAGCACATGGTAAGCACAAAACTAACTGTTGAATTTCAATAGTATATAAGTAGGGCATTTCCCCCCAACATTAAAAGATGGTAGACATGAGATTATATTTCTTTGATTTAGTGGGAAAAGTATGTCTTTTACTGATAGTTAGAAATACTCTTATTTTGTATAAAAATATAAAATTGAAACACAGGAGGAAAAGGGGAAACCTATTTCCTAACTTCTTTTTTTATTAGACTGTTCTAAATGCTTGATATACCAGAGGCAGTGGAAATAATACTTGGCATAAAAAATATGGGTTTAGACCAGCTCTCTCATTTAATGTGGAGCTCTGAGAAAAGCCCCAAAGCTGAGTCTAACTTCCTCATCTGTAAAGTGTAATCTTACTCAAGGTTGTGATGAATATGAAATAAAATACCTTATTTTATTTTTAATAAATATGGAATGCTCTGTAAACTTCTAAGTAGTATATAAGTCTTGCATAGTTTACCTGTGCTTCCATCTTGGGTAATAGTTGTAAGTTTGAGTTTTACAAAAATATGGATTTCTGTTTGGCATATTTTATGATCCACTGATAGTAACTTCTCTGATAGTTCCAGGTCAGCTGGCTTTGTTGCCTCTCAAGACAGATTTCTATCCTAACAAAGTAATGAGTGTGCTATGATAGAGGGCACCGGGGGGGCACCTAACCCAGACCTGGGGGTTGTTGCGGCATGTTTCTAAGAGGACATGATATCAATGTTCAGACCTGAAAAATGAGTAGTTAGCCTGGGAAGGGTATAAAAGTATGAGGGAGGGGATAAAGAGATGAGAGAAGAGTAGCTGTAATCTGATAACAAGAACCTGCATCTGGCTGGCTCTGAAATGGAATCCTATACTGTACTTAGAACTGCTGAAGATGGGTATATGTGATAATTGTCATCTTTTTTGGTTTAACTCTTTTATAGAAATGACCTTATAGTAGTATTCCTTTATAGTAGTAGCAGAATAGAATTTATTTGCTGGGCATTAACATTTCTTCTTCCTTACCTAGCATAGACATATTTTACTTATTAGAGCCAGGACAAGACTTGCTTTCTTTAGACATTGGTCCGTCTTATTAATTGTGTTCTCTCTAGTTTAGATTTACTCTGTAACTATTAGCTGGGTCCTCCATGTCTTTTTTTGCAAACTATTAAGAAAACTGGACAGTTGATCTTGGGAGGGTTATTATTTGCTTTTATCTGTAAAAACATTTACTCTGACATGATTTCAGATATTTAAGATTGTTTATATGGTAATGTGGGAATACTTCATTTCTGCTTAGTTTAGCAAGAATGGGAGAAATCTGGGGAAACATTATGGTTGGGAGTTTCAGAATAGAGAGAGCATCGAGAATGGAACCTGGCACAAAAGAGACCCTCTGTAGATAGCTGCTGGATAAATGAATGTGCTGCAGTGCCACAGGCAGAACATATTGAGAAAAGGGAATAAATGAGAGTAAATGGCAAACTGCTGGGTTAGGGTCTATAAGCTGATGATTGCAAAGTAAGTCTATGTAGGGAGGCAGGAGCCTAGATGTACAGTCTGCCACAACTGTGCTTTGCTAAATGAGGCTTTGATATCACATAATTTTAACATCATGTGTCAGAACTCAGTAAAAACCTCAGTAAATTCATTCAGTTTAGTACCCATAAACAAAAAATATTCCTACTATCCCCTGTGGACCATACAGAAGGTCTGATGAATAGTTTACAGAGAGATCTGGTCCTGAAAAATAGACCTATCCTCAGGTACTGAGCTAGTGGAAGAAGACTGGGCAGGTATGCAGTGTTTGCCTCACGACTTGTGCAAATGCTATTCCAAACTTGTAAGGAGAATAAGCTTTCAGCAGAGCACTATACCATAGTAGTGTATTTCTGCAATAATCTAAGAAGGTAATTGAGGAGAAGGATATAATTAATACCAGGGCTTTTAATGCCAGCAGATTTCGTCGGTTTTATAAGTATATAGTGACTATAATGATTACTTGTTGATTTCTTTAAAGTAACTTTTTCTCCCTCTGTTTTCTACTCCGCTTTTCTACAAGATCATGGTTTGCCAACTATAGAATTCTTTTAGGATTTTCATGTTCAATGTTGGCAAAAAATTCTTGTATATTGTAGTGTTCTGCCCTGCCACCTCAAAGAGGGGAGGTCAAAGAAATGTTGGTCAAGTATCTAGGGGAGCTTAGTTAGGGTTAGAAAGAAATGGGTGAGTTAAGAACTTTGAGACTCTATAGCAATGGCCTTGTGCTATCAGACCTAACTTCCCCTTATAAATATTTTGTAACATCCCCTGTAGTATGCTGAAATTAAATCCATAATAATATAACCTACTCTCATACATAATTCTAAAAAGAATGCTTTCCCCTCCTTGTAATATAAAGGAAATTTTTTAAAAGGTAATATATAATGTTTCAATATATAAATGCTTAGGTGTGACTATATTAGAAAACTTCAGTGAAGTAGTGTAAATGCAGGTGCTGCAGATGTAGACTGATGTAGGGATATGGTATTGATGACTCATGAACCAGGAGTGCCACTGTGCTAGTGATCTGATTTTCCAAAGTGAAGTAACTCTTAACAAAGAGTATATACTTCCTTTTATTTCCAGGGTGGGTACAGTACTGAAAAATTATAATTTTTAAACTGTAAAATATGCTTTATATTTGTAAAACTATGACCAGAAATTTCCAGATACCTCACAAACTTTTGAAATGTTCCTAAGGGGTTGTACTGCCCTCTTTCCCACTTTGAGAACCACTGGTATGGAGATCACATAGTGTTCCAGCATTTTATATTAAGATAAGACTGCTGACTGATTAGGGTATTTTAAAAAAATTATTAAATGTATTATTTTTTATTAAACATTTTATTAGTAATACTAGGTTTATTTCGAGCTATTTTTTCCCCTGCCTGTCCTTTGAAACCACCCGGGTTTGTGAACCAATTGGTCATTGATAGAGGTACTCTGTTAACAAAATTTTAATTCCTGGTGAAGTAAAGATCTGAGTGTAGCTGGAATAAAAATTACTGGTGAATATGAAAGAAATATCAAAGATTTTTTTAAAATTTAAATCTCCTTAAAAGACAATTGGCTGCTTAAACAAGCATAGTAACACTATATTAGGTTGTTTCTAATTACTTTAAAAATAAAATGTGTAACGGTAGCAGCACAAAGAATGGATGGGGAAATGGAAGTATTATACCTGCAATGTTCTTACAATACCCATGAAACGGGGGTGATATCCCTTGAAGATTGTTGAAACATGCACATTATAGATTGTAAGGCAAACATGAAAAACCCAAAAAGCTACAGTTAATAAAATGATAAAGGAGATAAAATAGAATCATAAGAAATACTCAGTCCATAAGAAGTCACAAGAAAGAGTGAACAAAGTCATTCTCCTTTAAACAAGGTCAGAGATGTTCTGTGGGCTGGTTGCTTTTACTTTGTACTCCCAGATCTGTGAATGAGGATGTGTATATTCTTTATATATTTCTTTATATTCAAAAGTTCAGTGGCCTTTTAAAAAAAACTTGGTTTGGTTTTGTTTTCATTGGGAGTCTTTTGCCCAGTACTCAGGATCTATTTCCCACTTCCCCCACTCCATTACCTATTTTACATCCCTCAGCTTCACTCTCTTGTCTTTGGCATTCCAGGGGGAAAAGGGTCAATGCTTTTGACTTTGTCACCGACTTCTGTACTTGCCAATCCAAGATGTTACATAGTAAAGATAAAGGGGAATGATTGATCTTTGATTTTTTTTGTGTGATGTCTCAACATACAAAAAATGTATGTTTTCTCTTCCCTTTCTCTTCCCCTCAATTCAGAGACATGAAAAATGCCGTAATTGGAAACAACAAGCAGAAAGCCAACCTCATTGTTTTAGGAGCTGTTCCAAGGTATGTTTGGTATCATTTTCTTTTTTGCTGTTCACACTAATTCTAATGTATTTCTCATTCTCAACCATAAGAATGATCTTTTTCCTGTATTGCCTATTCTATTTTTGGAAAGCCTCAAATTTCATGAGTTTCATGAAGCATTTGTAAGAAATAAAACAAGTCCAAGTACCAGAGAATGGACTATGAAGTGAATGTGTGAATACTTCTTAGAAATTCAAGATCATTGACCCTGCAATAGAAGAATGTGTTGCACCAGCCTGATTCATTCTTCCCTATCTACTCAGAGCCCTGGCAGTTTTTGACTTCTCAGGTTTCTCAAAATCTTTTTGTAAATTAAAAGAGAGAGAGAGAGTTGGTTGGTTTTTTATTCTTCTCTTCTTTATTTGACTTCTAATAAAATTTGCTGTTTTTTAAGTTAACATAAAGTTTATTTCTTCTGATGACCTAATAAGCTTCCTTTTGGTGGATAATGACAGTTGTATAACTTTCTGTTTGCCTTTGCTATTCAGAACTAAGTTTTATGTGCAGTTGTTGTAAGTTTTCATTTAGAATTTTTAGTATTTTGGGTTTTTCCTGTTCTTTTTTATCTTTTGATATGGGATTAATGGTTGTATTGTTTTCATCATAACCAACTTCAAATATATACTTTGGTAACCATAAAGCAGTCAGTAACCTTTTTTAGGAAATTAGTGGTCATTATATAAATATGCTTTAGGGAGCATGAGAGTTCTGTCTTAGAACAAGAGAGGTAGTCACACGTGGTGGATGATTGAAATCTGGAGAGTAGTTATTTGTCAGGCTGGGCTGGAATGGAAATGGGAGGATCCCCTGATTCCCCAAATGGGAGAACTGGAGAAAGAAGAGAGCTTCCCTTGCTTGAAGAGCTGCACAAGGACTCTGAGTAGTCCCTCTAGACTAGACCTCTGTGATCTCTGAACTATAGCTCTGGTTATTTAAGGTCCATTTCAAGTCTGAATGGAAGACCCAGCAGCACTTGGCATTGGTTGTCTTCACATTCTGAAGTGGCAGGTAACATGAACTTGTGATGTTGCTGTTTCTACAGAGGCCACTTTGGACAACTCTCAGATTTATAGTTCTGATAAACTCTTAAGAATATATGATAGTTCTTTTTGCTCAGAATGAAGAAAAATCTCTTTTAGGTTTTCCCCAGATATTTCTTTATTAAATTAGCAGCTGATAAAACAAATGACCATTTCCTACCCTTTATAAACTTACCAACCATATTTTTAGTATATACAATGTATTCGTAGCCTTTTTCTGTCACATTACTTTCAGCTAATTCACTTTTAAGTTTTTTAGTCTCTTCTGTTTATCAAGTTCATTCTTTTTAGATTGTTATACTTGCTTCAGCAAGAAACCTCAAGTACAGAGCTGAAAACTGAATGTGCAGTGGTATTGGGAAGTCTTGCTATGGGTACTGAAAACAACGTCAAGTCTCTATTAGATTGCCATATTATCCCTGCCTTACTGCAAGGTATGTAGGGAAGTCATTTTTATTCAAGTAAAACTTAGAAACAGTTTGCAGTTTTAAATATGGATTGAAAAGATGTCTCAAATCTATTTCCTATTAATAGGACTATTGTCCCCAGACCTGAAGTTCATTGAAGCTTGCCTCCGATGCCTGCGCACCATCTTCACCAGTCCCGTCACTCCAGAGGAGTTATTGTATACAGTGAGTTTTAGTTGTTTTTGAATCATCTATTATATTTCACTAACATCTTACTTCTGATTTACTTAGCATCTCAAGACTCAGCAGTGTTATATTATTAAAAAATCTCAAAAAATACTTGAGTTCTTGCTAATTTGCAAATGTCAAATGATCTAGGCTTTGTAAAGAAGTAAAAGATAGTCTCAGAACTTGAAGAATTTACAGGCTTGCTTTATTTGTTTTTTTTAAAAAGACCCATTTTGATCTCTTAATATATACAAGGTAAGACAATTTATGTAATGCTAAATGAGTGATAGGGCGTTTTGTTCACTCTAGGCTAAATCCAGGAGAGAAAACTTTATAGAGAAGCTAGAAACTGACCTGGGTCTTGAATAATGCATAAGATTAAGAGAGTAAAGAGGCCAGTCTAAGAAAATCTGTGTAAGAGAATATGCAGGATTGTGGGCAGGATAGTCTTATGTGGGAAGGGCATGAGTATTAGCTTCACTTGGAGAGATGAAGCAGAATCAGTTTGCAAGAGGCTTACTTGCAAGGCTAGAATCGCATGCGAGTATTCAAAGATCTGTGGAATCATTCAGTAGTTTTCAAAAACCTTGGGGTTTATTGGGAGGAGAGTATTTTTTATCTGATAACTTTGGGCTTTTTTTTTTTAAAGATTTTATCTATTTTCAGAGGGGAAGGGAAGGAGAGAGGGAGAGAAACATCAATGTGTGGCTGCCTCTCTTATGACCCCTGCCGGGAACTGGCCTGCAACCCAGGCATGTGCCCTGACCGGGAATCGAACCACAGTTGTTTGGTTCATGGGCCCGAGCCCAAACCACCGAGCTAAACCAGCCAGGGCAGGGCTTTTTTAATGAAAATTATCCAGACTAATATTTTTCAAATATTCTTATCCACAATCCACAGTAAGAAATATATTTTCCATTGCTACACTGTGCATATTGTGAATTTGGGTGTGAGGTAGAATGTGAGTGAGAATCCTGAGGCAGTTTTCACAAAGCAGTTCCATAAATGTGATGCCCTCTGATTCCTATTATATCCTTTTTCATTTTTAAAACATGCTGGTTGTGATTCTCTAAGCTAACACAAAGAATCAGAATGTCAAATCAGACACATATGAATCAGATCTTGCTGAGAATCATGCTTTACAAATATTTCAAGAACATAAGGAATCAGGAGGCAAAAGGAAACAATCAGGAAGAGGGGACATGTCACGTAGCCTCATAATCTGTGATTCCCGCATCAGGCATGTGTTCTTCTGGCCGGCAATGATACATAAGTATTGTAAGGGAGATTTGTCAGTCACCTCATACAGCAAGGAGGCTCTGAATGATGAAACATAGTAATTTTATACCTCAGGGATTTGTGTGACATTCTTCAGGGAGCCATTTCTTATAAATCTGTAAATCATTTACTACAGTGGTTCTCAAACTGGAACATGCACCAGAATTGCCTGGAGGGTTTGCTAAGCATAGATTGCTGGACCTTACCTGTAGAGTTTCTGATTCACTAAGTCTGGGGTGGAGCCTCAGAATTTGGATTTCTAACAAGTTTACAGGTAGCTTACATGCTGCTGGTCGTTGGACCACTCTTTGAGAACCACTGATACTGTAAGCAGTTATAAATTGGAAACATCCTCCTCAAAGCATTCCATCAGTTCGTCTTCCTAAGTTCCTATTGTCCCGATTACAAAGAGGTTGAACAGCCACTGGTCTTTACCCTAGAACAGGGTTTTCAGCCCATGTGCCACAAGAGGCACAGAGATATGCCTCAAAAATCTTTAAAACATGCAATTCTGAATAAACATGACTGTTTCATATGGGCGCTGGCCTCTTCTTCCTTAGATTGTCAAATAAAAAATGACAGCCAACACAACAGTAGCCATCTGGTGTGAATGAATCAAAATTATACCTATATTGGGGGGTGTGCTGTGGAATTTTAGTGGTTAGTTTATGTGTGCCATGAGATGAAAAAGGTTGAAAATCACTCCCCTAGAAATTTCTTCTAAACCCCCAACCCAATAACAGAGGGAGAAATTTATCATGGCCAGCTGTTTTTAACTTCATCTTCCTCACATTCGAAACTGATTTCATAACTTACTAATGAATCATGGTGCATAATTTGGAAGACTCTGGTTGACGCCATCCTAACTTTTTTACATGAGAAAAATTAAGACTCAGGGGCATCGAGTGACTTTCACAGTAAGGACATGTAAATTATGAAACATCTCAATTTTTTTTTCTTTTCTCTTTTTTTGTAGTTTAAAAAAAATCTTCACTCAAGGGTATATTTACTGATTTTAGAGCAAGAGGAGGGGGTGGGGGAGAGAATGAGTGAAAGAAACATTGATTGGTAGCCTCCCTTACACACCTCAACTGGGTATTGAACCCGTAACCTAGGTATATGCCCTGACCAGAGATCAAACTCACAACCTTTTGGTGCAGGGGCTGATGCTCCAACCAACTGAGCAACCATGGCAGAGCAAAGCATCTCAGTTTTATGCCTCAGAGATAATGGGGAATTCATGAAAAGTGTTGGGTGGAATAACGACAGAGTGAAGTTTTCAATGTAACTAACTGTGATCTGTGAGTTGGATACTGAAGAGGTCAGCTGCGTTGTAACTCAGGCACTAAACTGAAGATAGCAGTTGAATTGGAAAAGGGCAGGATGTCTAGTTTGAAATTCCATTTATCCAATGGGCAAATTATAACTATTCTTTTCCTGTTTACTCACCTATAAACTGCAGGTATATAACAGAATGGGCAGAAAGTGGGCCCGGTGTGAAGAATAGTATAGGGGTTGTTGTAACAGGAAAACAGAGAGAGGAGCAATGGAGGAAAGGAAAGAGGTGGAAGTGGTTTTAGGAGCCTAATAGAGGCTTTTTTTTTTATCTTCCTCTAGATTGCCTGATCTATCTTAGCTGCTACCTACATCCCCATCTTCTGCTTCCAGCCCCCATATTCTCTCTTCCTTTTTAAAAAGATTTGACTTATTTTTAAAGGGGGGAAGGGAGGAGGAAAGAAAGGGGGAGAAACACTGATGTGCGAAAGAATTGTCGATCAGTTGTCTCTTGCACACCCTTAACCAGGGATCTGGCCCATAATGCAGCCATGTTCCCTGACGGGGAGTTGAATTGACCGGGTCGTGGGATGATGTCCAACCCATTGAGCCACACCAGCCAGGGCTTTCTTTCTCTTCTTTCTATGCATTTAGTACCTGACTTTCTTTGAGGTTTTTCTTAGTTTTTCTTTGTTTTTAAACTACTTGTGGCAACACACAGGATTATACTTAACAAGGGAAGGGGGAAGATTCTACTTGGGAATCAACAGCCTCTTTTTCTACTTAGTTTTTATATATCTTGGACATTCTTTTCTTTCTCAGAGAAACTCTAAGCTTGTTCATCTCAACAGTGCTATTCTTTTAAGTTTCTGTCCTTGCCTTCTGTTTTCTTTTATTCTTTTTATATTTTATTTGTTTATTTTTAGAGAGAGGGGAAAGGAGGAAGAGAGGAAAAACATCATCAGTGTTCAGGGCCGCCCCTTACTGAGGATCTGGCCTGCGACCCAGACATGTGCCTGAGATTGGGAATCAAACCAGCTACCCTTTGGTTCGCAGGCCGGCCCTCGGTCCACTGAGCCACACCAGCTAGGGCTGCCTTCTGTTTTCTTTTGTCAAAGTGTGGTCTGTGGACCAGCTATATTGGCCTCATTTGGGAGCTAGTTATAATGGATGGTCTTAGGTCCTACTCTAAACCTACAGAGTCATAATGTGCACACACACAGAAAATCTTGGAATTGGCATGCACGTTCATACTTTAGAAGCACAGCTCTAGGACTCTTGACAGCATTGGTAAGGATGCTTGAGCATAGTCTCCTTTCCATCTCTGATTCATTTCAAATCTCCTTTCAACTTTTCATTTCTTTTGCATTCTGAGAAAAGAAAAAGAATTCTTGAGAAACTTTTAGCAGGTTGGGTGGATTCTTTTTTCTTCCGTACCATCATGTATGTTGTTGTTTCAACAGTAGGTAGAGTGTATGCTGAGAGAGAAGTTGCTGTTGTGAAGATTGAAATTAGCTAACTGTAGTCATGAGAGATTGTTACTGATCACTGATACTTATAATGTCTCAGAGGTTATAATTGCCAAGTTTTATTTTTATACACTGATTCCTCCCTAGAAGCTATCTATTATTCTATATCTTACTAGTTACCTCACACTTGGTTTCAGAACAAATTTCTGTCAAGTCTTACTAAAATGATTTTGTTTTATTATGGGGATGTAGGCTATTTTGGGGAAAGAAATTGAGAATTTTCTGTTCTTAAGGTTAAATTTTTTTTTTAAGATTTCATTTATTTATTTTTAGAGGGGAAGGGAAGGAGAGAAGGAGAGAAATATCAATGTATGGTTGCCTCTTGTGCGTCCCCTGCTGGGACCTGGCTTGCAACCCAGGCATGTGCCCTGACTGGGAATTGAGCCTGTGACCCTTTGATTCGCAGGCCCGTGCTCAATCCACTGAGCTACACCAGCCAGGGCCTTAAGGTTAAATATTAAAGCCCTTTTCCTTTTTCTTTGCCCAGACAGTTTTGGTGGCCATGTTGCTTTTGTTTTCCTGTATTCCTTAAGCAGACTTGATTTACTGTTATTAAGAGGCTTGCACAGTACCTGCTCATAGAAATAATGTGTTAGATGTACTCCACAGTGTCTTAAGTTCCTTGTTGCTGTGCTCTCCTTCCCTTTAATTCCAGGATGCTACGGTGATACCACACCTCATGGCACTGCTGAGCAGGTCCCGTTACACCCAAGAGTACATCTGTCAGATCTTCTCACACTGCTGTAAAGTAAGAACTGGAATAAATATTCTCTGTAATGTAAAACTTTATATGCCTTCAGGAGATGTGCCTTCTTTGTGTATCTTGTCAGAGGTAATCTATGCATATAAGCAGACTATGTATCTATTTCCTTCCCCCTTTTTTGACATAAAGTATACCATACATACTTTCTGCACCATGCATTTTTTTACTTAACATATTTTGAAGGCTACTGCGTATCAGTACATAAGGAGCTCGCTCATTCATTTTTTATAAACAGCCATATAATATTTTACTGTATAGATATGCAATAATCTATTTAACCACTCCTCTATTGTTGGACATTTAGCTTGTCTCCTGTCTTATGTTATTACAAAACAATACCTTGTGTGAAACATGTTTCATAAGAAATGGAATTGCCGACTCAAAGAGTGTGCATTTGTAACTTTACCATGTGTTGTCTTATACAGATGTTGTGCCATTTTATACTCCTACCAGCAGTGTGTGAGGGTTTCCCCACCCCCTCGGTTTCCACATTGTTAGAAATTATTTTAAGTGATCTCATACAAGGAGAACTAGGAGGTTCTTCTGCTCTTTGTTGAAGAAATTTCTGTTATTAAAAGGGCCTGAACCCAACCTGAAGAGTGCTGTGAAGTGCTAAGATGTACTCTGCCTCATAGTTTACACTCGTTATTCTTTTGCTAGCAATGGGTGATTATTTAAGATCTTTCATAATTTCTATACATTTTCTAACTTTTAACCAAATAGTTTATCATCTGAAGATGCTGTAAGTTGTTCAAGACATTACTCACCTATCATTTAGAATCCAAATACAAAATGAGGAGTTTGAGGAGCTATAAAAGAGAAGGGAAAGAGAAGTGAACACCTATATACTAAACTAGGAGTATCACAGATCACATTTTAGAAGTTTCCCAGATAAATGAAAATTAAATAATTTTGTTCCAGAAAAATTATCTGTTGATTATAATTTAAATGTTTAAACCATTTCTCATATCTTAGAGGAATATCACAGCCTACATAATTCTGTTTAAGACATGTAGAATTTAAGATTTTTGTCAAACATTTTTTAGGTTTCTCTTCTCAGGTTGCTCTGACTCAGAGGACCAAGGATGTCAGATGATTCCTTAATCTTTTGAGGTGGGCAAAGAAAGGCTTTGAGAAAACATCATTTTTGTTGCAATTCATTTACTGAAAATGAGGCAAATTTAAAAGGGTCTAGAATCTTCCAACAATGAACTGATGTCTTGTAGCCAGCACTGGCAGGTGAAAAGGATACTCCAGAACTCTATGCCTCATTAAAAATCTTTGAGCATTGATACCTGAGTGTTTGAGAACGCAGCATCTACTAGTTATAACTACAGTAATCCCAAAAGGGCACTGAAAATTGGACCAGGATGTATGTATGTAACTACTACATGTCAAATTATGCTAAATTATGAGAAGTTTAAAAAATCCCAATCCTGAAGTTACCCAAATCACTTCTAGAATTATTCATTAGAAACTTCTCACCACTTCTAAGCTTGCTCATCTGAAACTTATCAGTGCTGTTTTAGCTAAAATCATAGATAAAGGAAAACCATTAAATCACAAGTTCTTGTGCTAGAGAGAAACTTAGGCTGAGCAGGAATTTATGCTCACTAATAGAACTAAATAGAACCCTTATGCCACTAATAGAACTAAAGATAACAGAGAAATTCATCTTAACTCAGCTTGCTTTTAGCCTCATAAGAGCATTTGCCAGTGTAGTTAAATGACCAAATTCAAGTATTCTGAGATATAACTAGACCTCAGGAAACATAAACCCAGTGACAACAGAAATAGCCTAAAATACAATATTAATTTCTCTACTGAGATATTAACAATATGTCTTTTAAAACAACTGATCTGATGATTTCTATATTGTCATTATAAAAACATGTCATTTTCTATTTGTTCAGTTTACATATAAGATTCATAATAGAATTTTAAGACTGATTTATGAATTTACATATACTGGTATCAATATTAAATAAATTTACATAGTTTGGGGAGAGGAGACAGAAAAAGAAAAAGTTTACTAAAGTGTTTTTATGAGAAGCTAATCATACTTATATCTTTGAAATTTTATCTCATTAAGAAGCAAAAAAGACTAGTAGTAATATTACGTGGAGTTCTAACTTCTTAATTGTCATTTCTTAAGCATTTACTCAAATCCCTGACTCGTGTGTTTTGGAGTTTTAGATCACGAGGGCTTATGTGCCTCATACCCTGTGGATGCTGCCTTCGTAATCCCAGGCTCATGCAGGTTGATTTGGAGAGACTAGAGAGACTTGCTGAGAATCGAACAACAGCTCCTCCTTTCTAGTTGCTGCAGCCACTAATTCCTTCCTTGCAGTTATTTTTACACAATCCTGTGTAAGGCCACAAAGAGGAGGAACAGCTTTCGTAATAAATATTTGCTGCAATCTTTGGGGCAAAGAGTTTGAAGGATTAAAAAAATATAGTTCATATTGGTAACAGCAGGGAACAGTTTTGTTCAGAGAATTGCATTGTGCTTGTAACTCCATCAGTAAAGATATTCCATAAGTGATCCAGCTCTGAGGGCGGAAGGGAAGATGCTTACACATGGATATTCATTGACATGATGTTTGTAATAAAACTGAAAACAATCTAAGTGTCTCACTACAGAGTACTAAAGTATGGGGCATTCATACAATGGAATAAGGCCAAAAAAAAAAGGAAAAGAAATGAGAAAGCTCTTATGTACTGATATGAATGATCTCTGAGATATAGTATAAGAAAAAGTAAAATAAATAAAAGTTTAGGGCAGTAAATGTAATTTATATAGTACTATATATATAAATACTTCATATATAGTATACATAAGCATAATCATTTGAGTTAAAGTGGGAAAGAATATACTTATGTATTTGTATATGTATAAGATATCTTGATGAATATAAAAGTCTTTTAATATTAAGTTATCCCAAAGCAGGGGAACAGGGTGGCTGAATACAAAGGTAGAAAAACAATGATGTACAGGCGCAGAGGCAATACCCTGCCTGTTTAGCTATTCTACAAACATTGTAGAATAGTATTTAAATTGGGATGTTAAAATATATAAGGAAGGCAAAAAAATTTTAGTATTCTGACATGTCAGCCAAGGCTAATTTAGACTTATCTTCACAGTTTATTCTACTTACTTACTTGTTACTAAGTAAGAAAAAAAATGGCTCAGATTCTTAAGAGACCCTTCTTTTCCTTGGTTCCCCGATTACAGTCTCCACCACCTTTCTGTTTGCTATTACTTTTTATCGAATGTTTTCCATTACCACGTATCCCCCATTCCCTGCTCTTACCTCCATCCCTTCTCTCCTTCTGTAATCACCACACTGTTGTTGTCCATGCTCATGAGTTTTTTCTTTCTTTTTCTTATTTGCTTGACCCCTCCATCACCTCTTTGCCCCCTCCCCCAGAACGGTCAGCCTGCTTTCTCTCTGTGAGTCTGCTTCTATTTTGCTTTCACCACTGTCTTTATAATGAATCAGCCAGCTTCTCCAGTGTTGCAAATGAGACAGTTCAAAGTAAAGCATTTAGAACAGTGCCTGGCACATAGCAAGTAAATAAGTACCTGTAATTATAATTGTGGGTGCGGGGATGAGAATGAGGTAGGAAGACAGAGCACACTTTCAGCCTGTGTCCTAAGAATGCCAGTATTTTCAGTTACAAGGGCAGGTTTGCACTGTTCTGAACGGATGTATAGTGATAAATATATCGAGCAATTGTACTGTGGGAATTTGTCCTCATTCCCTAATGATCTTCACTGAGATACAGCTTTCATAAAAGTCAACAAAACATTGCTTATAATAGTGAGACATTAGAAACTACCTAAAATATGTAATTGGGGTTTGTCTGAGTAAACCATGGAATATCATGCACTGATTAAAAATAAGAAATTAGAAGTTAGAAATGTATAGAAATTAAGAGATAGATTGCTGAAGTTTTTTTAAAGGACTCTTTGATAGTATACAAAATATTTAGAGAATTATTATTCATAAAATAGAATATGGCACTTTTGTTATTCAGAAGTATGAATGCTAATCTCCTCACTTCAAATGACGGGTATTTTGATCTAAGATGGAATGAGCACCTTAAAATAGTTGTTACTTGGCTGAATAGTGGGTTGGAGAAATTGGTCTAGGAGCTTTTTTCCAGAGTAGTAAGTATCTGGTTTCCAGTATAAACCCAAACATGCAGTCTACCTTTCAGAGCTACGTTTTTCTCTTCTGAATAATGATAAGTATAACATACCACCTTTGTCCTGGCTTTAATTGACTTTTCATTATTTGAGTGGGTAGAACATAAAATCAGTGAGTAAAAACTGAGGCAAATTCGAAGCCTTGCTTTAATCTGTAGCTTCCGCCACTTTAAAGACCTTCAATAAATATATTAGTAGAAAACAGTTGATGAAAAATAAAATACTTGAACTTCTCTATTCTACACCTATCTACCCTAAGAAGCGGTAATTTTAAGAAGAGAAATGAGATAGAAACAGAAACCAAAGCATGTTCACTTCTCAGTTATGGAGTATTGTGTTTCCCGCCATCCATTGCTCAGACTGCCTGATGTGTTGATACCGGTTAGCCCCTGCTCCAGTTCCTCTTGCAATTATTTAGTTTTAGAATTCTCACTAGTTCATCAGCCTTAAGTTGTAGGAAAGACTACCATTGTGACTGAGGGTGTGCACATGAAATGCAGAATTCGTAGTTCTGTTGCTGTGATAGTTGCTGCAATTCTATTTAAGAATTGCATGGGGCCTGTACCAGGATAGCTTCTGTTCTCCCTTCCTTGTGGGGAGGAGGGAAGGAGGCAATAATTTTACATAACTGGGATGAAGTAAGATATGGCAGCCCCTTGCAAGACTAAAAATAGTGTCTACCTTCCTTTTTGGGGAATGTGTTTATGCAAGAGAAGGAAGGGTAACTGAGAATTCTGCCTTGAATGGAATATGGTTTTCTACATTGAAGTAAATGTTTTATTGGAATGAATCATTGCTCTTTTTAATATATTACTGTATTCTCTTTTCTTATAGGGCCCAGATCATCAAACAATTTTATTTAACCATGGTGCAGTTCAGAATATTGCTCACCTACTAACCTCAGTATCTTACAAAGTAAGATGTTAAACATTATGTCCAGTTTGTTTTTTTTTTAAGATTTTATTTAGTTATCTTTAGAGGGGAGGGGAAGGAGAGAAACATCAATGTGTGGTTGCCTCTCGTGGGTCTCCTGCTGGGAACTGGCCTGCAACCCAGGCATGTGCACTGACTGGGAATCAAACCTGGACCCTTTGATTCGCAGGCCCGTGCTCAATCCACTGAGCTATACCAGCCAGGGCTTATGTCCAGATTTTTATACTTTATTTGATTGCTAGAATATTGCTGTAGAAAATTACATATTTTATTTCTTGATAGATATTGTGATCAGTATTGTCTTTCCTCTTTTTTTTTCAGTATATGGTTGTGGCATGAGTTGCTATTGATTTTCACCTGTGATCATTAATAATCTCTTCCAGTTAAGGTGTCTGTGCCAAAGCTGATGCCTTGAAGTGTATTGGAGCAATGGCTTGCTATGTCAGGAAAGACTTTGGATTTCATATTTGAGATGTTTATTTATCCGCAGTGACTCACTCAGTCTTATAGCACATATGCATCATATATATCAACATAAAATATATTGTTTTGTATTTTGAGTTAAAAAGTCAAGAGTTTTCAGATTTGTTAATTAAATTTTTTACTACCTTTTTCTTATATATAGGTAAGTATCATCATGATATATTATCAGACATTTAGGTAAAACTGTAGTCATTTCATTGTTGTTCAGCTAGCAAATTATAGCAAACACTGGGACATTGTCCTTACTGTGTCACATTAGAGCTGGGTATACCAAGAGTTTCCTGCAGAACAGAGAAGTCCTCCTTTTGTCTTCTCTCCATTTGTACTGATTCTGGTTTGCTCTTTTGGTCCTTAGCTTTATTACAGCTTGCTACTGTGTATGTTGTCCCTACCTCAGATGCCCAAAGTTTGCTCTTGGTGAAGAGCTCACAAGGATAGGAGTGTTGCCCAAGTGAGGGACATGTTTCTGTACACCTCATCCACCTGTCCTGTCAGTCCCAGCTTTCACATAAGAATATCAGATGTGGACTCAGCTGAGGAAGTAAGGATTAGATCATCTGGTGCAAACTGAATAGAAAGGCTAAAAAAATAACAGCTCTCATAGAAGCCCCAGCAGATTGTAAAATGTGTTGTATGTGGCCAAGAATTTGGACCCTTGGTCTCATCCCAGACCTGACCAGACCTGGTTTTGAGGAATGGTAGCAAAGTTTATAGATGTTTTAGTTAAAAGTTAAATTAGTTTAGTTCTTTTCAAACTTTTGTTGTAACTTTGTTTCCTTTTCTTCCTCATCCCCATCCCATGTACAACTACAAGAGTACTCTTTTTTTTCCTTCTTCGGTTCTGTCTTTTGTAGTTTGGGAAGAAATGTCCCACTTGAAAGGCAGTCGGTAATTGTTATTAAGTTTCCTTTGCTTTACCAACATTGTATCTTGTACAGTGTCCTTTTAAATTTGATTAGGGATTTACCTAGTTCAAATTTAGTGCAACTTTAGTGCTTTTACTTTTTCATTACTTCAAAATTAATTTGAACTTACTGCATTCTTCTGATATACCAGTCTTATTTCTATTCCCTTGAGTCCTTCCTTTAATACTCTAGCAGATTTAAATAGTTATTTCTTCAGAAGAGTTTAGATTATAAGATATTAAAATCCATATTTACAAAATTTAAATAAATTGTTCATTTACTTTTACAGGTTCGAATGCAAGCACTGAAATGCTTCTCAGTTTTAGCTTTTGAAAACCCCCAGGTATCGATGACCCTGGTAAATGGTAGGCTGGTACTTTCAGTGGCACCTACATGATTTAATTTGTAAACTTTGTAGATTTAAAGAATTCCTTAATTCTTGTTGTTTGTTTTATTTCTAGTTTTGGTTGATGGAGAATTGTTACCACAAATTTTTGTGAAGATGTTACAGAGGGATAAGCCTATTGAGATGCAACTCACATCAGCAAAATGGTAAAAGACAAGACAATGTGGAAAGAAAGATAGGGCTTTGTCAATATATTAGAGAATTTTTGGACAGATTGATTAGTTCAGTCTCAATCCCTGTCTTGTTTGGGGATTTTGAAATTTGAAAGTCATAGAGTTGTCTCACATTTCCTTAAATGGATGTGAGTTTTTACTTCATTTACTCAGTAGCATGCAGAACAGGAATTCTCCTATAACATCTAAGATTGTCTACATAAAATCACTTTATTATATTCCCCTTCTGTATTTCAGTTGAAATAATACAGAATTAGATGAGAAGTAACCAACACATATTATGCTAAATATTAAAAGTATTAAGCCACGAAAATGTAAAGATACAGAAATACGGAGTGAGAATTAATTGACGTCGATAACCAAGGCATGATTTCGGAGAATGCCATTTTCTCATTTTAGAAGAAACAAAACAGAACAAATCCTTATAGAGATGTAACAGTTTATAAGATAGTTACATAAAGTTCTTACTAGCATAACTCCTAGCTCATGTAAGCCTTTAATATATGCTAATTCTCTAATTATCAGTACATGAACAGTTAGGTTGAATACCTGTTGTTTAAGGTTCTGTGCTAAATAAATGATTTTGTTTCAACATTTAAGAAGCTGTGGCTCTAATATTTTGGTAAGAATGAGGAATTTTCAGCTAATTACTCATGAACCATGAATTATTTTTATTTTATGTTTTTATATTACTTGCATTTTTTGTTGGATTCTTCTGAGTATTTGATTTTTTATTAGTAAGGTAGTCCTGTCATGGAACTGACTTAAAAAAATAAGTAGTGTAACAAACCTTAAGGTAGTGGTAATAGCTATAAATACTTCAACTGTCTACAATATAAGTAAAGAATTTTTATTGATTTGTTTATTGCATTCCCTAGAAGCTAGGACATTTTCTTTTGTTTGTTTGTTTTTGTTTTTTCCACCCAGCTTACTAAAGGAATCTAATTGAAAAAGGAAATTCATACGTCAAGTTTCTGAAGTGCTTAATGTTTACTACCTATTTAGGGAATGCAAAGTAATTATATGCTTATTCAAAGCCAGATATAATTGTGAAGGTAAATTGCTTTTCAGTAGAACCAAGTCATTGGCTAATTTTTAAAGCCACTAGTAACTTCTGAATAGTTAATTTCTGAAGGATACCTACCTATACATGTTAAAAGTTAAATGCTTCTTCAGTAGTACTTTTGCTGTTGAAGTTGGACTATCTCAACTTCTTTTAAACTTACTTTGTTAGCTTTATATTGTAATGTTTTTCCTTTTTATTATGGAAAAATTAAAACCTAAAATCATGTAGAGAAAAGTGTAAAGAACTCTAAGGTGCCAAGCACCTAGCTTCAAAATTTATTCACCTATTAGACCATTTATTTAAAAACAATTTTGTAGTGTTTTTTTTAAATATCTGGCTTACTATCTGTATATCAGTTAGTTTTCTTTGACTATTAAATTATCAGAACCTCAAATAAGAAAATGTCGAAACCTCCCTCAAAATAAATGAGAGTAATTGTCCCATTTTTGGCCCATAAAATCTTAAAGGCAAGTAATTTTCCTTTTAAAGTTTTAAAACACAAAAGAAAACTAACTTTCTGCCATTTTATTCCAGTTTAACTTACATGTGTAGAGCTGGTGCAATTCGGACAGATGACAACTGTATTGTGTTGAAGGTGAGCTGATTAATTCTCTACAACATGTGAAAATTATCCAGTCATATACATGTTGAAAATAAGTTTGGGCGTTCCTTTTTTTTTTACACATTTGTCACTATAATATGTGTGCATAGAATAAAATAATAGTAAATACCGTGCCTTTACTTTTCAATGAAATGCCATGTAGTTTTTAAAAATTAGTTTTAGATATGTTTTGAAGGTCAAAGTGAAATAATTATTTTCTTGTCATACCTTTTTCATTTTTATGATAATGAAGATGTAAAAATTGTAAAAATATGTAAAATTCAGGTAAAACAGAAAATATATTTCACCTTTAATTTTCATTGTTTTGTAGGAAATAGTTCACTAGCTCTGTAGATAAAGACTTTATGTCACCCTAATGGCAGATTAATCAAAAGGCATAATGAGAAAGAATGAGAAAATAACACGTGAATACAATTATTATTATTGATGTCCAAATCATCTAGAAGTCAAAAATACCTAGATAAGAGACTAGCCCTAGAAGTCCCAAGACCTGGAATCTGATTTTCACGCTGCCACCACTGCCTAGCTTGATAACCTTGGGCACACCCCTTAGTATTTTGGTGCTTCAGACTCCTAATTGTCAAAATGGAGGCAACAACTCCTGCTCATATTTCCCACAAAGTTATTGTGAGAATAACAATATTTTAAACATATTAAATGTCTTACTAGCTAGAAAGAACAAAACAAGTATAAATAAATTGCTTATGTGTCATTTTTATGAATGTGGGATCTCTCACTATCAGCATTCAAAATTGATCCAAGGGTAAAAGAAGATCAATGTTTGCTTTAGTAAACAATTCTGCATACAGTGCTAAGCACTTCTGTGCAAGGACCTTAATTTATTTTCATAACTGCTTTACTCGTCCTTTTCTTCCACATTGGTCAACTAGGTTAATAGTATCTTCTTTGTGTAGTAGTCATGAGCACGAAATTCAGTAATCCCAGAATTTCTGGTATTGATAAATGTTAGTAACTGTTCAAAGGAAAATAAGAATAAGGCGTCCTCTTGGAAGCCCAGGCCTGTATTGAAAAGATTGAATGAGCCTGAAATCAATAGTAAGCAGTAAAGTGCTAAACTGTGGTAAAGCTAGAATGGGAACTTAAAAAAGAGCAAAGCACAGTTGACTATGGTAGTTGAGGAAGTCTTCCTATAACTATAACATTTCGGTTTTTTACTTCCACATGGGGTATTTTTACTGGGAATCTAATGTAGATAAATAACCACCCAAGACTAGTACCAAGGTTTTTGGAGGACTTCAGAAACAAAATTGGACGACTAGATATTAGTCTTTCCAAGGAGGTCTGTGGGAAACATAGGAACTGTAATTAATGCATTTCACTTGCATTATAGGAGAACCAATGGAATCTGAGTAGTGGTAAGATCACTGAATTATTAAAGAGATAATTTTTTTGTAACTGTAGGTATTAATCCTCAAACAAAATATAAAAGTTGGCCCAGCTAAATTACTTACTAAGAAAAAAATAGCATTCTTTTTCTAAGACAAAACTGTTCCTGATTAAATTGCTGCATGACAGTTAGGTAAATAAATAAATATGTGGTACAGGAGCATCAGACATGATTTATTAAGGATTCTGAAATGTCTTTTATAAAGTTGTAGAGTAACACTTTAGTCTTAATTGATCCCAAAGCCTAATTAGAATTTATATTATTGTTCTGTGATTATATGATTAGAGTTTATTGTGCTAGCATAAATGATTCAATTGCACTGAATTTTATATATTTTTACATAAAAAAAACTTTTATTCTCTGTAAGTCTTTATTGAGAATTTGATCACAAGTATGACTCCCTCAAAAAAACCATTGAGTTGACTCAGTCACTATATGCTCTCCATCAATCTTTTGCCTTTACCAAAAAGCAAATAATTAATTTCACTACCTTTCAGACATTGCCTTGTTTGGTTCGAATGTGCAGTAAGGAGAGATTACTAGAGGAGAGAGTTGAAGGAGCTGAGACACTCGCCTATCTGATTGAACCAGATGTTGAGCTACAGAGAATTGCTAGCATTACTGATCACCTCATTGCCATGCTTGCTGATTATTTCAAGTATCCCAGCTCAGTGAGTGCCATCACTGACATTAAAAGGGTATGTTCTCTTTTCCTTTTCAGTGGCTAAAGAAAGGCCTTTGTAAAACTTTTACTTAACTGTTCACTACTTTGAACCAATTGATAATTATAGTTCAAAGCCCTTTTAAATAAAGGAATCTTTTACCTTTGGTAACATAGATAATGTTGCTTTATGAGTTTTTGAGTCCAGTTTGTTTCATATTTATTGTCAGAAAATTTTTATTAAGAAGATAATTAGGAAAGCAGAACATTGGATCCCTAATCCCCAACTAAAACCCCAAAATAGTGGGGTCTGGTCTCTGAACTGGTTACTGATATTGTATCAATATTTATGTCATCCTGTTCAAGTTCCCAGTTACCTCTCTTGCATTGTTGTCATTCTTTAAGTCAAGGGTGATCTCTCGTTATGTATGATTGAGTGGCCTTGTTTTACTGTTCACCACTGTCTTCCTCTTTTGCCGCCTCTTCTAAATTTTGCCATCTTCCTCTCTTTACTTTTTGCAGTTTCATACTGTCCTTTGGGTCTGCTAGTGACAGCTAAACCACCATTTAATCTTTAGACTGAGACCAAAGAACCAAATTGTGCTTTTTCTAAGCTGTTAAGTTCCTTAGGATAGGTAGATATTTCTTTGACTTTGTTTTTCTGAGCCTGTTTGTCATACCTGTTTCTCTAAGCAAAAGATATAAATATTATGTTAGGGAATGTGTATTTAAGAAGGTCATGATAGACAAAGCATTGCCTCCTAATTAGTAACCAGTACTATTTCATGAATGTGACTATTTTTTATACCAGTGGTCCCAACGGTAAACTTTTAAAAATGATTTTCTTGACCTCTTCCATGCCCCTGAGTTCCAAAAAAATTCATCTGGCAGGTAACCATTCCTTTGGCATTTAACATTGAAAATAAATAAACTGTCAAGGGTATATCTTTTCCCTGTCTCAGGAAGGGCCTGGCATACCTTCACTGGTATTTATATTAACGTATACTGCCCTTTATGTATTAAAGTGGTGTGTGTGCTCATCCTTCAGTACGATTGTTTTCCCAGTAGAGTTGATTGGTGACATTGAACTCTTTGTCTTATCTATTTACCCTCTGGTTACTTGCCCACACTGAGAGTGTCTCACTGGTACAGATTTACATGTGCAGGTCCTAACTGTGGCCTCGTGAACAGCCTTAGTTGACCATCCCAGCAAAGCAAATAGAACACCTTGTAGGACCTGAGAGTGAGGGAACAGTTATGAGAACTTCTAGCCTATGCACATGCAAATCATTTAACTACTGTATAGATTATCCTTTCTATTAAGGTTCTGCCATCTTATTTTCATTACAGTAAAACTAGAATAATAATTTTAAAAAATTATCTCCTTATGCCAAACTTGAATATTAGTTTGTTTTGTCATCTTTATTTTTGATGATGGATTATCTAGTGCTTTCTGACCATGAAAGGATAAATAATTGATCCAGACAGAGAAATTCTTACATGCTAATAATGCATGATTTTCATGGTGTACCAGTCTCAGTCAGTATTCTAATATCTGTTATGACTAGAAAGTAGTTAAAACGTTAAGAATAAGTATTTTAGGACTTACCCATCAAAATGAGTATTCTTCGTTATGTATTGGGAGGTTCCTCCCATAATCTATCAATGATGGCTTTGATCAGAATATTTTTGGCCCTGGCCAGTGTAGCCCAGTGGATTGAATGCAGGCCACGAACCAAAGCATAACCGGTTTGATTCCCGGTCGGGGCACATGCCTGGGTTGCAGGCCAGGTCCCCAGTGGGGACCACATGAGAGGCAACCACACATGGATGTTTCTCTTCCTCTCTTTCTCCCTCCTTTCCCCTCTCTCTAAAAGTAAATAAATAAAAAAATAAAAAGTATTTTTTAAGAATATTTTTGGAACTACTTTTAAGAATTTCCTTCAAAACTACCCTAAATGAGTTTCAGGGTTTGTTTTTTTAATATATTTTACTGATTATGCTACTACAGTTGTCCCATTCCCTCCCCCTTTCTTCTCCTTCGCCCTGCACACCCCCTCTCCCACCCACATTCACCTTCCTTAGTTCATATTCATGGGTCGTACATATCAGTTCTTTGGCTTCTCCATTTCCTATACTATTCTTAACCTCGCTGTCTATTTTGTACCTACTATTTATGCTTCTTATTCCCTGTACCTTTCCCCTCCATTCTCCCCATGTCCCCTCCCCTCTGCTAACCCTCCATGTGATCTCCATTTCTGTGATTTCTGTTCCTGTTCTAGTTGCTTACTTTGTTTTAGTTTTAGTTTTTTCAGGTTTGGTTGTTGATAGTTGTGAGTTTGTTGTCATTTTACTGTTCATCTTGTTTTTCTTAGAAAAGTCCCTTTAATATTTCATATAATAATGGCTGGGTGATAATGAACTCTTTAACTTGACCTTATCTGGGAAACTCTTTATATGCCCTTCCTTTCTAAATGATAGCTTTGCAGGATAGAGTAATCTTGGATGTAGGTCCTTGCCTTTCATGACTTGGAATACTTTCCAGCCCCTTCTTGCCTGCAAGGTTTCTTTTGAGAAATCAGCTGTCAGTCCTTATGGGAACTCCTTTATAGGTAACTGTCTCCTTTTCTCTTGTTGCATTTAAGATTCTCTCCTTGTTTTTTATTTTGTGTAATGTAATTATGATGTGCCTTGGTGTGTGCTTCCTTGGGTCTAACTTCTTTGGGACTCTCTTAGCTTCCTGGAAGTCTATTTCCTTTGCCAGATGGGGGAAGTTTTCCTTCAATATTTGTTCAAATAAGTCTCAATTTCTTTCTCTTTTTTTTTCTTTTTCTGGCACTCCTATGAATTGGATGGTGGAACATTTGAAGTTGTCCTGGAGGTTCCTAAGCCTCTCCTCATTTTTTTGAATTCTCATTTCTTCATTCTGTCCTGGTTGAATGTTTATTTCTTCCTTTTGTTCCAAACCATTGATTTGAGTCCCAGTTCCTTCCCTTCACTGTTGGTTCCCTGTACATTTTCCTTTATTTCACTTTGCATAGCCTGCACTTTTCCCTCTATTTTACAACCATACTCAGCCATTTCTGTGAGCATCCTGATCACCAGTGTTTTAAACTCTGCATCTGATAAGGTTGGCTATCTCTTTACTTAGTTGTATTTTTTTAGGAGCTTTGATCTGTTCTTTCATTTGGATCGTATTTTTTTCCTCAGTGCACCTGTTATGTGGTAAGGGGTGGAGCTTTAGATATTCTCCAGGACGGGACAACCCACACTGCTGTATTGTGGTGTCCTGTGTGGGGGAGGGTTCCAAGAGGCAACAGTGCTGCTTGCTTAGCTCTCACTGGCTTTCAGTCACTTCTCTTGTTACCCACAAGCAAATTGGGCCCTTCTGGTGCTGATTCCCATGTGAGTGGGTTTGTGTACTTTCTAGGACCCTGTGAGTCTCTCCAACAAACTGTCCTGTGAGGGCAGGAGTTCCTCCCACCACCACAACTCCCACAGGTGTTTTCAGTGAGAGGCTTGGAGGCTTTATTTTCTTGTGCTGGAACCCTTGCTGTGTGATCTGTCTCACTCCCCCAGTTGTTGTTCCTCACCGTTTATCTGCACACAAATGTGGGGTCACCCAGTCTGCCAGCTGCCTGTCTCTGCCCCTCCTACTGGTCTGGACGAATGTTTCTTCTTTAATTCCTTGGTTTTTGGACTTTCTTACAGTTTGATTTTCTGGCAGTTCTGGATGGTTTTTTTTAAAAATTATTTGTTGTCCTCCTTTTGGTTGTGCAAAGAGGTACAGTGTATCTACCTACACCACCCGTCTTGGCCAGAAGTCCCCTGAAGTTTCAGGATTGTTTTATTTTCTTTTGTTTGTTACTGTAAATATCATCCAACTGGATTTCCCCATCTTCGTACACCACAATCAGTGATGGTTAACTTCAAACTCTCTATATTACAATTAGGGGTTTGTAGCTAATATGACAGTTAGCTCTTAAGGAGGTTTTGAAAGAGGGTTTCAGACTGTGTTCAGTAACACCTGTGTATTTTCACAAGGGTGAGCCTCTGGAAGGCAGATCATTTGAAGAAAGTGGTACTCAGTTGGAGGAAGTTCTCTCTCTTAGTTATAAAATTATTTACATTATTAATATGCCTTGTAGTATATGTACTGGTTCTTAGTCACTAAAATTGTCCTGGGAAGATGCTTCTATTTTCTTATTAGTGATAGTTTGGTGATAAGTCAGGTGTATGGAAAATTGATACCTTAGAAGCCAGTTATACACATGGAAAGATAGCATTAATTGTATCATTCCAGTAATTTTAATAAATTTATCCAAAAAAGTCCCCTGAACATAAATCACAGATAATTGTAATAGATAATAATGATTATTGCGATACATTGTTTATTAAGGATTTTCACAAAAGTTTTTACTGTTTCTAAAAGGCATTTACATAGTGAAATTAGGTTGGCACCGCTCTTAATGTTTGGGAAACGCGCCAAAGACACTGTGGTAGCAGCAGTCAAGCTGTCAGCTATACTCCAGGGCCAGCACAGCCTGAGCGTGCCTTGTTTTTGAGGAGGGCATTTCAGAGAGCCAGTGCAAGCAACATTAGTGCCACTGAAGCTACCATCTAGGATCACTGGATTTTTATGGCTCAGAGGTTCACAAAAGTTTTGCATATATTAGTGTCCAATATGGTGGCATTCACTTTTAGACAGAAGCAGCATGTATTCCAGATCATGGTGACACAAACACAGCTAGGTCTCAGTCGTGTGAGCAGGACACAGAAATAATCAGGAATTCAGTGCGAGCACTAGAATGTCAGTAGGTGTTAAACGTTTTTTTCCTTCAACTCTGCTCGATTGGTTTTATTGAAAATTTAATTTGTGGACTGATTAGGAACATATCTTCTTCTCCCCTCCCATAGCTTGATCATGACTTAAAACATGCTCACGAACTCCGCCAGGCTGCATTCAAGCTCTATGCTTCTCTCGGAGCAAATGATGAAGACATCCGGAAGAAGGTGAGTCTGGGAGAGGGGCGTCCCCCAGTCCTGACAGCCAGCAGGCAGGGAGTGACGTCAACCTGAAAGTCGTGGTGAAGAGCACTAACAGTGACTGTTTGAATATAATAAAGCAGAGTGACTAAAGGCATAATTGAAGAATGAATGGGACCCGGATTTGGGGGGTTGTTTGTTTGTTTGTTTTTAGAACATAGAGTGGCATGGCCGTGCTGGAATGACAAATAACTGGTGTGCTTTTTTGTGTCATTAATATGGATTATTGTGTTGCACCTTTTTGCATGTGTTCTGATAAAAATCAATTCTAGCACTGTGAAGCTTCAGACACCTTGAAATACCTAACACTAGAATTGTAAATGTTATTTATGGAAATACTTTCCAATACTATTGAGAAATTTAAATCTATTGTATATTGTTCTTTGATATGTGGCTTAGTTATGTTTTGATTTTTTTGCTACTGTGCAAGTTTGATGTGAATAAAATCTTTGTGGAATGATGATTTTATGTTTAGTGAGTGGTCATGTGAATTTCTAGGTCCCCCCAAAATGTATCACTGGTATAGCACCTTATGTTATTACAGCCTAGTCCTACACTGAACTCATGTTCTTGATGAGAATAGTGTTAAGCAAAAAATAAATTATAGTGGTAAGCTCTGACGTGGCTCCCTCCTCAAACCAAAAGACTGAACCTACCACTCAAAAAAATATATAATCTAATAAATTTAACACATGGCTTTTAGGAACCACCAGTAAAGTAATCCCACATGTTCTGTCTTGATGAGCCATAGAAGAAGAATAAATTGGGAATTATTTACCGAACATGGCAAGTACTAAATTTTTCCATCTGGGTTGATATTTGTAAGAGAAATCACAAAGTACTGGAAATTTACCATGATTAGAGAAGTTCTCAGGCTTGTAGACAGGAAGTATGGAATAACCATAGGTTTAATGAAATAAATTGAAAAGGACCCATTCTTGAAGAAAATTGAAATAAGCAGTAAGATTAGATATACGAATAGCTTTCATTTAAAATTAGTGCAAAAAACAGCTATGCTGAATATTTTCCATGTACCTCAGTTTAGTTCAGTTAACAAGATATTTTTGACTTGAAGTGTTCTCTAGTAAATATCTATGAAAATTTTTCTTGACACCTCTAAGCTTTCATCTGTAAACTGTTACTTAAAGGCAAACATACTAGTCATATGGTATTCCCTGTGTCTGACAAACATGATTTCTGGATGTTGGTTCGGATATGTTTCATTCAGTGTAGGTATATGGTATATTGCAAAGGAAGAGGCTTTTATGGTAACTCATATAAAACATTTCTAAAAATTGACATGGACTGTATAACATACATAATGATTTGTTTTGGGATGGTTATTAGGGCTCGTTAGAAGTGTTTTACCCATTCCCTAGCTCAAGAAGGTCATGCCATGGACTGAAAGGGAGATAGATAGATGGACCATAATGGGGGGCTGGGGAGAATAGGATGTCCATTGTACTTCTTTGTACTTTTTTGTTAATAAACTGTTGTTTTGGAATTAATGACTTAATCTGTGATATCATGTTCTAGAAATACAACACAATAGTCTGATGATTAGTAGTCTATTAAAAGTTGTATTTATAATGTGTATAATTTCCTGGTAAGTCTAAATCCTGGATAATTTCTGTAGAAAGATGACAAATAAAGAATAAGTTATAATTATTATAATTTTTGTGTGATGAAGAAAAGATACTGTAATATTTTTATATAATGGGGATTATATACAGTTTTTAGGAAGATATTTAATTTCTGGAAAATTAAGTGTTTGAATAATTTATAATTCATAACATTTACTGAAGAGAAATTGTAAAATGGGAAATATAAATAATTTTGCGATAAAGTCTACATGAAAATGTTCTTAGGAGTGGAGAATCCTTATTTTCAATGCATAAAAAATGATGATAACTTTTCCTTTGAATGCCTTTATTTCTATTTAATTTTTTGTTAACATAATTATTTGGATAGATTTTTATTTACCTTTACCTTTTATACTTAAACCTTATTAACTTTGATTATATTTATTTTATTTTGAAGTACAGTGTGTATTATTTTATGTTTTACTACAATTTTTATGCTTATCAAGATAGAATTTCAGTTCACTGAGTTAATGAATGGAGAATCTCTGAAAGAGATTTCAAGGGCTGTAGACCCACCCACCGCCCCCACCCACAAAAACCAAAAAAGCTACAAAAATACTTCATTGCAGGATAAAAATATGAAATGTTCAGTTGATCTGCCTTTTAACTGAAAATGGAACTGTAATTCAGTAAATACAGAAAGTAACATATATTCCATTGCCCTATTATGATCAGTTCAGGAAATGAGGCAGAATGAAGAAGAAGAAAAAACTAAAGCTAAGCAAGAGGTAGAGACAATGAGAACTGGACACAGCTGTAAAGGAGAAGATACAGGCCTTCCCTCTTTGTAGAATTATGTCTCTATCTTACTGCTTCTAAAGACCTCTAAAGGCCCGCTGTGATTTCATTTCTCAACATCTTCTTTCTGGGCCAGACAAAATTAAACTGAAGACTGAGATATGACCTACAGGTCAGAGATAACAGTCCTGCTCTGGAGCAGTGTTAGTGTATTCCCGTTAAAAGATACCAAGTATAGAATAATTCCTGAAACCTAATAAGCACCCAGTAAGTATTTGTTGAATAAATATAGAAATGAAAATGCAGAAATCATACAGAGTGACATTTCCTTCAATATGCCTGGATCTCTGTGTGTCCTGTGCAGAGCAAAGTTGGCATTCCAATTTCTAGCGTTACATCCTTTATCGCTCTGTGGCGTAGTTACAGATTTCCTCACTTCCTGTGATGTCCTGTCAGAGTGAAGGAGGGTGAAGAGTTCTGCAGGTGAGAATAGAAAACATTACCATTGGCTGTGCCATGAAGAGGCAGAAGCCCAAGAAAAGGTGGACCACTGAGCTTGACAATAGATGTGGCCTGGCCATATTCAGGTTAGAATATCAAGAATTTTGGTTAAGGTAAGCAAGGGTGGAGGCAGGAATGGCGAGCTCAGTGGAAGAAGGGTCCAGAGCACATTAGCAGTAACTATACTGCCAGCAATGCAAGGTAAAAATTCACTGTGATCTCTGCTGTGGGGAAAGCCTAGTTTTGAATAGTTTTTACCACATATTAATGCTGACTGGGAAGCATAAGTTCAATTAATAGGACAGTGAAAAAGAAGTTGAGGTACCTAACAAATTATTTCAAGTACTGGCATTTCAGTTTAAACCCCAGTCAGTGGTTAAGTCATGCAGAGGCAGCGGTGGCAAACAGTCCTGTAATTGTGAAGCTGAGTCTCTTATGAGAGAAAATTGTTCCTCTGAAGAGCATCACTTGGTTGGTACCTGTCAATCATAAAAGAGGCTGGAAATTTTAAACGCTTGTCTCTCTACCCTCTTTAAGAAACTAGTGGAATTTCTTAGAAAGTATAATTTGAGGGACATTAGAAATAGTAAATATAAATTAAAATTCAAGGAAATGAATAAACATAACAGGATGTTATTTTTATCTTTGATAAAAAATAATATACATTACAAATCTTAAATATAGTACTTAGTGTAGCCTTTGCTCCTTTGAGGTATCTGACTAATGGAGCCTTTCAGGAAGCTTTCCTCTTAGATTTTGAGTACTTAATATTCTAGCTGGAGATCCCTTTTGAGGGAGTAGGGTGTAAGCTCCGTGAGGGCAGGGGTTTTTATGTTTTGTTCATCACTGTATTCTCAGCATCTGCAACACTGCCAGATACATAGTCGGCACTCAATTACATTATTAAACACCTGTCGATTGATTGTATATGGGCTTCCTTACATTAAGAACTTTTATCATTTTACTAGCAGTTCTATGGATATGTAAAGGGAGAAAATTAAAAATAGAAATAAAGTCTGATCATATAGGCAAGGGGTTTCACTATACTTAGCATAATGAAAATGCAGGAAATTCCCATTTTTTCAAGAGGCAGAAAATCCCAAGAACATGTCGTCTTCTTATTTGATATAGATAAAAGAGAATATTTTTTATGGTATGATACTTGTTTAATTTTGAAATAATTTTAATAATTTCTTAGGTTTTTTTTCCTTTCTAAATGTGTCATTTTAAAATAATGTATATTATTCACAAGTGTGAATCTGGGCCCATTTGTTTTCTAGGGATAAAAGTATGATTTGGTTTGTAGAAATTAGCCTGACTCAGGAATCAACCTGTTCTGTAAAATACGTCTGTATAAAATAATTATCTTCCCAATTAATGAATGTCAGGTTTTTAAGGTCTGTAATTTAATTCAATTCTACATAGATTGATTGAAGTGCCTACATTGTGTAAACATTATCTGATGGGAGGAGAGGAAGTATTGCGGTGAGATGCAGAGCAGTAAGACACAGCCTAAAAATGCCACATTTATAATAAAACCTGTAAGTCAGAGAAGAGTAAAGAACGGCCAGTAAAAATTTGGTCAGGGCTGAAGGGATTATTTGGAAACAGTTAAAATGGACACAGTGATATCAGTGGGGTTATCTTTGAACCAATAATTTATCATTTAATATTTTTGTCAGTTTTAATGTTTTCTAACTGCCATTTATTTTATATTTTCAAGAATTGAAAACATAAAAATTTAAGTTTTGTTCCTTGAGGGGATCATCCAGTCATGCTGGTTTTATATGACATATCAAGAAGGTAGCCAAGGATGGATATTTTTTTTCTTTTAAACTGAACAGTTTTTAAAAATAAGTATAGGCAGAGAAAAATAAAAGGGAAAAAAAAACAAGAATGAGAATTTGTCTTCTATCTGCAGAAGTTATATCTGCAAGGTCACTGTGAAGATGACGATACAGTGTATTTAAAATACTTAGCATGGTGCCTGTTAGTACTTAGTAAATGGAAGCATTTTTTAGAATATCTTAAATGACTCCATTAGAAAATTAAAAATAAATATATATTTTAAAGTCTGTTAGAAAA